AATTTTCCTACGTAACCTTCTTTAAAATGACTGGAATTGTGATTACGATTACTAAACCATTGACTCAAAAAAAGAGCCAACACGAAAAATTGAAAAGAAACATTAATTGTTTGGTTTGGTTAGTTTTGATATAAAATATTTTGGTTTTGTTTGGATTTTTTTGTTTGGTTCGATTAGTTTTGAAAAAGTTGGTATGATTAATTGTTAGTGGACATTTTAAAATAATATTTAAAATAAAATGATTAAAGTTGATTTGATGTAAAGTAGGAGATAGAAGATTTGAAGTGATATTTCGTTAAAATTATGTGAATAGATGAATAATGAATTAAAGTGATGTGGTGTGTAAGAGCATCTTTAATAGCAAACCTTCACAAACCTCACCCAATGTGCCACATAATCCAAAACTTTATTTTTACTCCTACAACCAAAAACCTCAAATAACCGTAAACCTCTCTTTTAATAGGCCACATATTTACCACTTACTATAATTTAATATTTTACTTCTATATATTAATTAATAAATCATTATAAACCTATATTTATTCACTTTAAATGGTCCCACATGAGGTTTTTAGTGGAAAACTTGTGAGGTTTGAAATTTTAAACTTCTCAAAATCTCCTATTAAAGTTGCTCTAAGAATGCTTGATTGATATTATTTAATTTTATTGATCATATTGATGATAGTAAAACTGAATTAAAAAAAATGGTTGAGTTTAAAATGTTTGGATTTTGTTTTGAGAAATTTTGTATCCAATCATGCTCTAACAATCCCAAAAATCTAACAAAATCTATATATATATAAAAAGATTTACCATTTTTTAAAAATAGTAAGTTAAATCTTAGTCAAACTCCCATTGACATTTATTACATGCCATTTATAGTAACTTTTATTTATTATTTTTTATAAACTCAAAATGGTGCCCTAAAATATAGAATTTTTTATGTTTTTTATTTAACATAAAGTCGGTCAGCAATAATACTTCCATTAAAATTTGGAATATAGATAAATATGGTTAATATCCTATACAAAATTGTTTAACGTAACTATCGGATTTATCATATATTGCCGTATCTGTCTTGATTTTATTGAATCTATGCAATCCTATGCACATTCTTCACTTAATTGAGATGGGTGCCCATTATTTGACCAAAAATAAATCTATCTCAAACATGATTTTATAATATAAATAATTAAAATCACAATACAATTGTCATTCTCATATCTCATCCGCTATTGTCAAGGCTTTAATGTGGTTAAAGAAATTTCATACTAAATAGTCCTAAATGTAATTAGGTAACTCTGTGTTATATCTTATAAATATAATATGTTCATACTTTTTTTTATATATATTTGATAAAATTCAATCCACATACTATATATTTTTTTATTCAACATATTATTTATGTAGATTATTACATTACATATAAATTAATAAATTAAGTCTATAAATGCTTATTTATTTAAATTTAATATCATTTTTTTTTATTTCAAAACCGATTAGCATATATATATATACATATATATAGATATTGATTTGCACATTTACAAAAATCATCATTATTGTCAATCAATATTTTTAAAAATAGTGGATCTTAATGATGAGAAGTAGTCAAGTTATTAACTAAAAAATGTTATTTAATATCAGCTCACAAATTTCAATAGAGAATCGAACAAACAAAAAAATGTTAGTAGCTGTAACAAAAAATTATTTAAGTTTGGTGGTTAGTTACTGCAGAAAAAGTTATCTTTTATATCTCTAAAACACATATCAAAGATTTTTTTTTTTTCAAAACGATAAATAATATTATAAATCAAAACACATATCAAGGATAACTTTGAACAAAAATTAAGATAGATAACCTATTCACAAACAATTAATAAAAAAAAAAACAAACCAATTTTATGTCGAACATGAAACATTGCAATTAATATTTCAAAAAAAAAAATTAGAAATTATTAAGAAAAAGTTTACGTTTATTTACAATCTTATTTTGATATATTTGATGGTCAACCTAATAATTGTTGTATGTAATTTTTTGTTTTATTTGAAGAAAATTGTAAAATATGAAATATGAAAAGGGGAGAGGGGAGAGAAATTAGAGGGAATCATTAAATTATGTTTCAATCTATAAATTATTCAACTCACTATTAAGGAAGTTATATGATTCAAACTAAAAACATACTTTATTAATATAGCTGAGAATGTAAAATAACTATCTACATAGAATAGGAATGAAATAGTTAAACTAGGAATAAAATATAATCTATAATACAGTTGGAAATTAGAAAAGTGGTCCAAGCGTGGGGGCAATTTTTTCGACGACAACAATCAACATCCGCAGCCCAGGAGAGAAGCCCAGCAAGGGAGCCCAGTTGAGTGAGGCTCAGTTTCCGCAGCCCTTTGTGCAGCCCGCGTCCGGCCCGTGCTCCTCACAACGAGTTACCCAATAATCAAACTCATAATGTTGTACAAAGAAGTTTTTAATAATATAATTTTTTTTCGTGACGAACATTTCATGATGAATAATGTCCGTATGTATTAAACTCTCATATATCTAATGCATGTCAAATTATAATATTCTCTAAATTTATATATCCGTGCATCGCACGGGATACGCACTAGTTTAAAATAAAAAAAAAGTAAAAAATTGAATCTTGAAAATATGAAAATTAAAAACTTTTGGAATCTCCTCAAATTAAAATGTTTAATAACTAATTAAAAAAAGCCTAAAATTTTGACTTTTTTGGCACACCCATATTTGGCAAATCCTTCCTTGCAAGAGTTCATGGGACCAATGAGAGACAAATCTGACCAAAACTACCTCCAAAAAAACTCCGACTATACATTTGACAAAACCTTAAAAGAAAATCCAACTGTTCGAATGTTCAACACTGTGATGTGGAGGATTCAAATCTCCAGCACCACTAGATAAGATCGGGCTTCAACATTCTTCAACCCAGTAGTATAATAAATCTTTGATTTTTAGGAGCAAAGTTCAGTTCTTTCGCTACCTCAAAGCCTGCAACTCTCTCTTTGAGGCAATTCATCAAATGGGTTCCCGACAAGATGAAGAACCATCGTCAAAATCGCCTGATTCCCCCCAAAAGCTCCCAACTTTCCGCTACAATTCGCCCTTAGCCCAGGTCGCCCTAATCGGGCTCGTCTGCTTCTGCTGCCCTGGGATGTTCAACGCGCTCTCCGGCATGGGCGGCGGCGGCCAGGTCGACCCCACCGCCGCCAACAACGCCAACACCGCCCTCTACGCCGCCTTCTCCGTCTCCGGCGTCCTCGGTGGCGGCGCGTACAACGTCCTCGGTCCCCGCCTCTCCCTCTTCCTCGGCTGCTCGACCTACGTCCTCTACGCCGGCTCCTTCCTCTACTACAACCACCGCCGCCGCCAGGCCTTCGCCGTCGCCGCCGGAACCCTCCTCGGGGTTGGTGCCGGCCTCCTCTGGGCCTCCCAGGGCGCAATCATGACGTCATACCCTCCCCGGCGCAAAAAGGGCCTCTACATCTCTCTCTTCTGGAGCATTTTCAACCTGGGCGGCGTAATCGGCGGCTTAATTCCTTTCATATTGAATTTCAATAGAAACGAGGCTCTCTCCGTGAACGACGGCACTTATATAGGCTTCATGGCTTTCATGTCAATCGGTACTCTGCTTTCCCTCTCGATTCTCCACCCGGGTCGGGTCTTACGGGAAGACGGGTCGCGCTGCACGAACATCAAATATTCGAGCATACGGGTCGAGGCCCGTGAGATCCTAAAACTCTTTCTTGATTGGAAAATGCTCCTAATTGTTCCCGCCTCTTGGGCGAGTAATTTCTTTTACAGCTATCAATTTACGAATGTGAATGGCGTGTTGTTTAATCTTCGAACAAGGGGTTTGAACAACGTGTTCTATTGGGGAGCACAAATGATCGGTTCTGTTTTTATCGGTTTTGTGATGGATTTTAGTTTCAAGAGTAGACGGGCTCGTGGGCTTTTCGGTGTTGGGCTTGTGGCTGTGTTTGGGACGGCCGTTTGGAGTGGAGGGCTCGTGAAGCAGCTCGATTATAGCCGTCTTGACTTGCCGGACCGGAGGTTGGATTTTAGGGACGGCGGTGAATTTGCCGGCCCGTTTGTGCTGTACTTTAGTTATGGGCTGCTCGATGCCATGTTTCAGAGCATGGTGTATTGGGTGATTGGTGCATTGGCTGATGATACTGAGATTCTTAGCAGGTAATGTTTTAGGTTATGTCTGGTAACACTAGTTGATAAGTGATTTTTAAGCTAATAGCTTATAGCTTGTTACTTCTAGCTAAAAAGTTAGTTCATATGATATAAGTGATTGGTAAAATTAGCTAATAAGCCAGCTGAAATAAAAATTTCGACGAGGTTATTAGAAAAACTATCCAAAGAAGCTTATGAGATAAGCTCGAGCTTTTGAACAAAAGTATATCTATTTTTGTGCCATATTTTTATCTTTCATCGAGGCAAACAATCGTATTAAAATGCCTCGGCTGCTCGGTCAATACAATTCAGAACTTATTTTGCGTTTTAGAAACATGAAAAGTACATGTAAAGATAAGACAAGACTCGGATAAATTACTAGCAGATACACAAGAACATACAATATACTCACATATATATATAAGTATATGTAAGAATGTTGCTTGCATATTTTAAACGAACGGGTTTGAGCTCCAAAATTGGTAGGCCAAACCCATTTTTCATCTTTTGAATGCTCTCTCTTGTTGATGATGTGCGATTTGTAACACAGAAACAAATGAAAATGGGACAGTTGTTCGTTAGTTTGAAAGATAACTGGTTTATTTTTATAGTTAGGCTGAATTTTAGGGCTAGTTTTCGTAATTTATACCTAATTTGTGGCTAATTTGCAGCTCGATTCTTGTGTTTTTAGGTACACTGGGTTCTACAAGGGGGTGCAGAGTGCTGGGGCTGCTGTTGCTTGGCAAATAGACACGCATAAAGTGCCGTTTTTAAACCAACTTATAACTAACTGGGCACTTATGACTGTAAGTTATCCTCTTTTGGCTTGGCTGATTATACGAGCTGTTAAAGATGATGACGATTATGACGATGATGATAAAATTGAAGGGGACTCGGAAGACGTTCATATGGTCCCTTGATTGATTATATATGTTGAGTTAAGCTCAGACTCTTCAATGCAAAAAACCCATTGATTATATATGTCGAGTTAAGCTCAGACTCTTCAAAGCAAAAGTGAATCAAAGGATAAATTTTCCTGTTTTACTTTTACATGATTGGGATATAGTTTCTTGTTTTAGTTATAAACAAATGTTGAATCATAAGGAGAATATTTGCTATATTCCAAGAAAGTATTATTGTTCGGTTAATGATGTATGATACATCTGTTCATGCTGAAAACACGAAAACTGCAGTTCATAGATTCAAGGGGCAAAATACAAATAAAATAAATAAAATCAAATAACAACATGAAACAGAATTGCCTAGGAAGCTTATTGATGAATAATAATGAAAAAAGAAAAAAGTACGAAAAATAGAAAAACCTAACAAGTTATTGGAACGTTAAGGTAAGAAAACGTCGCATTGTTCTTTTTTCTCCTCTTGGAGTATTTGGTTTAAGCCTCCACCTTTTTTTCCTCCTTGGCTTCCTCAGCCGGCTTAGTCTCGGCTTCCTTTTCAGCTTCTTCTTTGGCTTCCTCAGCCGGCTTGGTCTCGGCTTGAACGGCTTCTTCCTTGGCTTCCTCCACCTTAGCCGGAGCTTGTTCGGATATTTCTACCGAAGGTTCTTCCTTTTTTTCCTCAACCACATCTTCCTTTTTTTCCTGCAATAATTCATTGAAATATGACAAGGTGAAAAAAAAAGGGGTTAGGATAAATTATTGTGTGAGGTAGTCTAACCGTTAGGCGGGTCGATCAGTCATACTGTTAAACAAATATCATACTTACGTTTATGTTGTTTTTTAAAGTGACATTTTCTAATGAAGAGTAGTATGTCGGCCTAATGATCAGGAAAATTAGATATTATAGTACAAAATTTGTCCGAAACTCGAAACACGGAATGTCTTGGATATTTTCAAAGACTGCAGGGTTCGTTTTATAATTATCCAAAAATCTCAACAGTCATGCGCCAGAAGGGGCGAATATGTAAACTTACCTCGACAGCGTTGGCCTCGGCGACAGCTGGCGCTTGGTCAGCAGGGGGGGCCTCGACTGGTGCGGGTGGGCCCGCCTTCTCGGTGGTGTCCAAGTCCTTGGGTTTGCTAGCACAGCCTCCCATGATTTTTCTTTTTTTTTTTTTTT